ATGAAACTGATCTCCTTTGTGCATTGTTTTGAGATCTGTACCAGCAGTTTAGATCCAATTGCAGAATGGGAAAAACTTCCTAACTGTCAGGGTAGTTAAGCACTGGAATAAATTGCCTAGGGAGGTTGTGGAATCTCCGTCATTGGAGGTTTTTAAGAGCAGATTGTCAGGGATGGTCTAGATAATACTTAATCCTGCCTTGAGTACAGAGGACTGGACTAGAAGACCTCTCGAGGTCCCTTCCAGTCTAATGATTCTATGGGGAGACGTACATTGTAAGGGCTTGTCTACATGAGAAACTGAGCAGTAAAACTAGGCCAGTATAATTACACCACTATAGTTATACTGGTAACTCCCCAGGTGGACTCTCTAATTCCAGAGTAATTAAGTGTCTTTTTCCAGTATAGTTTAAGCTGCTTCCAAAACGACATAAGTTAAATCAGAAAAAGCCACTCTTACTCCAGAATTAGACTGTCCCCATGGGGAGTTTTGCCAGTTTAACTATAGGGGTGTCAATTCACACCGTACCTTACACGGGTATAACGTCCCATGTAGATATGCTCTAAATTCCCTGCTCCATGTAGCAGAGATCAGCTCTCCCTCTATGAACAAAGCACACCATTAATACTCAATATATGATCATACTATAGCTTGATCGGAGAGCGGAATTTTACCTGGAGTTATAAAGCACTTTGGCACCTGTGTGATGACCAGGGCTTCTTAAAACCAAGTTTAATATTAAACAAGAACAAAAACTGAGGGGAAATTCCTCAACCATCTTTTTGTTCTGTGTTTGTACCGCACTTAGCAGAATGGGGTTCTAGTCCATGACTCAGCCTCCTAGGGATGCTGTGGTAATAAAAATAACAGGACTTGGAAAGAACAAAGGACCAGATCATCAGCTGGCACAAATCTGTGTAGGCCAATTGAAGTCAATGAATCGAACCCAATGGACACCCAACCACTGCACTCATTCCAGATTGGTTTAACTTTACATATAGAATCATAGAAAAACAGAGCTGGAGTCACTCTGGTTCAGGTGCAAGTGTAGGGGAGAACACAAAGCTGGTTGGTGGATCTGGCCATATTCGAAGAGTGACCCACCACTGGTAACACCTGCAGCTTGCTTGGTGCAGGTCTTAACCATAGATTCTAGCCCAGTCCTGAACACTCGTCATCCTTGTCCACCCTTGCAGCTCAGTTGTGTTTAATAGCAGTCCAGCTGCACTCATTCCCAACACCTACCATTGGCAAGGGGGAATTCTTCTAGCGCAGAGCAGGTTTCTGCATCTGAAAGATTCCTAGTCTCAGCTTGTCCTCACTGATGCTATTTCTGCATTCATGACGCAGTTGTTTAATCTTATTTTTCATGTTTACCGTTTGCAAAACTTATAAGGAAGTGAGTCCCTTTTGTCAGGCAGGTTCCTCTTCTGCTTGTCATTTCTAAGAAGGGAAAATTTCAGTTTCTTTTCTTTTTTTTGGCCTTTTCCCATCACATCACATTTCTTACACAGATCTCTTCTCTACCACAATAAAGTCATGCAGGGGTGTGTAAGTCACATTCCTCGAACTCATTGGGAACTACCAACTGCCTCTCACCCATTCGAAACAACAATCCACAGCCAACTGCTGCTAATACGCATCTTCCCCAATGGCAACAAAGAGGGATGGACTAAGATCTGAACGAAATCTTAGGCTGACCAGGGTTCCAAGCACCAGAAGAACCTCCTCTCCTCCCAAGTTTGACCATTTCCAAGCTAATCTGGAGTTGGACCAATCTAATGGGGACCAATCCCTATGGCCCTGAGAAAGAGTAGAGGAGGACCTGCCACCCACGTTTTCAAGAGGTCCCTAGGCTCCTGGGAACAAGGGCTTCAGACACCTTGTAGCCCAAAGAGTATGGCCAGGAATGAGTTGGAGGAGGGGGACCTGAGAGTACAATTCCCCCAGCATCCATGGGTGCCAGGTTTGTATAATTTTTGGTGGGGCCCAGAACGGGTCCAAGCAGAGCCGTCCCATCCATAGGACTGACTGGGGCAACCCCCCCGGGCCCCGCGCTTTGGGGGGGCCCCGCACTTCAGGGGGATGTGAGGTACAGGGCGGCCTGGAGGGTTAGCGGGGGGCCTGGCACCAGTAGCAGCAAGCGACTCGGCCCCAGCCTGCTCCGCCCCACCGGCTCCCAGCGTCGCTCGGGGGACAGGAGTGGAAGCCGGAAAGAGGCAGGGCAGGGACTTGGGGGAAGGGGTGGAATGGGGGCAGGGCAGAGGGGAGTGGGCTGGGGCTGGGTCGCTCGCTGCTGCCGGCACCAGGTCCCCTGTTAACCTCCCAGGCTGCCCTGGACCTTATGTCCCCTGAAGCAGGGGGCCCCCCAAAGCGCAGGACCCGGGGCGGTTGCCCTGGTCCGTCCTATGGACGGGATGGCTCTGATTAACTATAAGCCTAAACATTGGTAGAGCCGGGCCCACGTTCCTGAATATTGGTGGAGCATGGGCACCATGGGCACATATAACTCACCGCCTATTCAGCAGCTCCAGGATTTTGGTTTGCTAGGAGCTGTGTTTATCCTTCACTTGCTACCGAGGTATTAATCACCTCCCAGCTCACCCAGCCCTTACTTTCACAAAGGGTTAAAGCCGCAGTGACGTGTGGGCGTAGCAGCACCTCAGAGATGGCAAAGCAGCTTATCTTTATTGGCGAGTAAAACAGACCTTTGCCTTGAGTGCATTTCCCCTCCCGCTCCTCCACTTTGCTTAAAGGTTTCGGGTGAGTTTCCTGTTCTTCCTGGATCGCATGTCCCTCGCTTGCCCCCCATCCACCAAACCCATTCAGCACCTTTCCCCTAGACCAAATCTCAGCTGAGGCTTCCCCACCCACCTCAATAAAAGGTGAGGTGGAAATTCAGCCACTGGCCCTGCACTAAGGAGAAAGGCCAGCATGGCGGCTAGAAACCATTGCATATCACGGGGTATGGGGGGGATCCGCAGAAGCACAGAAGGGGAAGGAGAGCCAGAGAGACCCTCTGATTAGCAGCTGCAGCTCTGAACAGAAGCCGGCTCACCTTCTTCTGTGAGAGCAATAAAACTGCCATTGGTGTGTTGTACAGTCTGACGCAGTTTCAGGAAGTGCGCACATATCTCCCGAAGGAAACATGTTCTCGACAAGGACCTTAGCCCACACAAAGGAACTTGGGGCAGATTCCACCACTGGATGCACAGCGGGCAGGAAGGTAACTAAACACTTGTCTGCAGTGTGTGTGTGTCTACAGCATCTAACACCCTGGGCCTTGGGGCAATGCTGCATTATAAATGAATACTCCTACTGCCAATATTATCCTGGGAAGCACAACTCACAGCCACAGGGCTGGCAAACTAGGGTCACCAGGCTCCACAGCTGCTGACCCATTCCCCTTTAGGACCTGCTCTGACAGAAAGCCACACATCTGCCCCCTCTGCTCCCTTCCTGTCTGCGCGCACAGGCCAAACAGAGAGCGCTGCTGGCCCATGCAGCAGGGGGCCCCCCTGCACTGCTGCATGGGAAGGTGCTGAAATGATTCATTAATTTCAAAACTATACACGTGACTGGTTATGTCTGGTAACTCAGCGTGGGAAGACAGTGCCCAAGGCTACAGAGACACAGAGAGTCAGAGGACTGCAGATTTCTGCAGCATTAACCCAGAAACGCATCCCAATCCAAATTCAAAAATCGTTTGGGTGTATTTAAGCCTTTAATCCACCTTTATTTACTCGTTTTATAAGAAAACACTGCAGGGCTGTCCCAATTCACTGCTGTAGGTTGTCGTGCTTTGGCATGACTATAAAACACTGGAGAATATATTTTAACAAAGGGGTTCCACGCCCCCTCTTCCAGCAGTCAACTTACAGTGAAATCTTTGGCCCTGACCTTGCAAATACTTATTCACACATTTAACATTAAGCACTTGAATGGTATTAACTCATCTGCTCATATGCCTAATTCAAGCACATGCAGTTGGTATTTTGTTAACCTCTGAGGATAGGACAAGAAGCAATGGGCCTAAATTGCAGCAAGGGCGGTTTAGGTTGGACATTAGGAAAAACTTCCTAACTGTCAGGGGGATTAAGCACTGGAATAAATTGCCTAGGGAGGTTGTGGAATCCCCATCCTTGGAGGGTTTTAAGAACAAGTTAGACAAACACCTGTCAGGAATGGTCTAGTTATTACGTAGTCCTGCCTTGAGTGCAGGGGACTGGACTAGATGATTTCTTGAGGTCCCTTCCAGTCCTACACTTCTATGATTCCATGACCAGGGCCCTTGATTGTCCTGACCAGTTACAGAGGACTATACATTCCCAAGCACTTTCTAGTTAACCCTCAGAACGCCAGGGCATTAGCCCCATTTTATAGGTGGGGAAATGGAGGCTGGGAGATGGGTGGTGACTCGCGCACGGTGACACGGTATCCCTTAGGTGTACGTTTTCCAGACCCCTGCGCTAATCACTTCTCCTCCCCAACCCCAAACAAAACCAGCATGACAGTGATGCCCCCAGAGTTGTCACTGGTCTGCGTCACCCGAGTGGCACCCCCACGGTGGAGCCCTGCACCCTTGCCACGCAAGCTCCTGGGCACCAGTGGCTGGATCCCTACAGATTGCAGCTGTTGCTTTATTCCTGTGTCGTCCCGCCAGTAAAACAGGCCAACGCTCCGCTCCCGGGCCCCGCACGCTGCGGGCAGAGCGCGCCTAGCCCCATCCCGGGAGCTCCGGTGTCCCAACCCCAGCGCCCGTGCCAGGCCCGGCGCCCTCCCAGCGCAGCAACCCCCTGCCCGGGCCGGGGCTCTCCGAGCAGCGGGCGCCCCGGGGCAGCTCCCCTAGCCCCACCGGCTCTGTCCCCCCGGACACATCGGGCCACCCGCCAGCTGGCTGGACCCCTCCCTTCCCCTTTGTCCAGCTCGCGGCTGGGATGCTGCATCCCGGGGCGCTGGGCTGGGAGAGGGGAGGAAGCGTCTGCAAGATTCGTACTCACCCTCTTCCTCCTCCCGTCTGCACGGGGGCTTTACAGCGCTCAGAGGAGGGGGATGCGGCTGGAGCTGCCCCTGCGCCCTAGTTCATCATCCCCGGCTTCCTCGCCTGCTTCTGCATCGGCTTCCTTACCCTGGGGGGGGGGGGGCGCTGATTGCATGCGAAAGGAAGGAGTGGAGATAACGAATTGACCATAGATGCAAATAGAAAGACAGCTTCAGCTCCCTCTAGAGGCTCCTTCTACCCCAAAGCTGCTCACTGT